GACATCGTCTTCGAATCCATTGCGGCAGCTCTTAGAAGATTTCTCCATTTCCGATCTATTCTATCTGCCTGCCGCCAAGATAATAAATTTCTCCGCCAAATAAATAAAATGCAGAGCCGATATTGAGAGAGAGAGAGAGAGAGAGATAGGGTAGTTTAGAGATTGGATGAGAGCGACGTGTGATGTGAGTGAGAGAGGTTGTGGTTGAAATGCGGCTGTCCAAGGCCGACGAGAGTACCCGAATTGGGTTCGAATCGAAGGGTCTGGAAAATGAAAAAAGAAAAAGGAATTTACTCTTGTGAAATTTGAGTTTGTTTTGTACAACAGTGACCAATGAATGACCATGGAATTGTAGCCTACGTGGCGACCCCCATTTCCTGTTTCCTTCCTACTTCTATTCCGAGTAATCCTTGAAATAATTGTACTTGGTCAATTTATTGAGCCTAATTTTAAGTAATACAAATATTACATAACAAATATATATTCCATATTTCATCTAAATAGTTATTATTTCTAAAAAAGTTATATACCATCATTACCATTATCTCTACTATTACCATATTGTCACCGGTGTAATTATTGTGGTAGTTTACTTGCGATGTATAGCTATGATCACTTGTTGGTTAGTAGTTAGCCCGTTGTTATATTAGTAGTTAGATAACAGTTTATTTTGCACGCCAATATTGGTTAGTTTGTTAATCGGTTTATAAGTTAGTGATTGTAATGTAATTAGGGATCGATTAATTGTCCCTTATAGTGTATGACTTGAGCTTCTATCAAGAAATCAATGGAGACTTGAGTTGTCATAATTTTGAATTTATCTTATTTTACTTTTTAATACACCGTCGAGATAAAAGAAAAATCCATGATTGGTTGGATGACCAGCTAGTTCTTGATTGTTTTTCTTCTAAATATTGAGGAGTGAGGGAGGAAACTAGCTCAACTTTTTCCATGGATCCCCGATATCCAAGGCCCTTCAAAATCCACCTAGTTTCATCCACCGATTCTCCCGAGTTCACAGACTTTACTCAGTCTCTGACGCGTTCCAGAATCATTGCGCTCGATGCCGAGTGGAAGCCCATCCGCACCCACCAGCCGTCTTTCCCAACAGTCTCTCTAATCCAACTCGCCTGTCAACTCAGCAGTGACTCGGGCGAGTCAGATGACTCAGTCGTTTTCCTGCTCGACTTGTCCTCCATTCCTCTACCTTCAATCTGGGAATTACTTAGAGACGCATTTGTTTCCCCTGACATTCTGAAACTGGGTTTTAGATTTAAGCAGGATTTAAAATACTTGTCTTCCACTTTCAGCTCACAGGGATGTGAACAAGGGTTTGACAAGGTAAGAGCTTTAAATTTATCAGTCATGGACTGCTAGCTAGCTTGCTCGAAAAATGCGGGAAAGTTTAACATCAAGCAATTTTCTTTTTATATTTACCTCTGTTTTATTCATTTCACAACTTTTGATATTTTCATAAGAGGATTCTGTTTAAATTTCACAAATTTATGGTGAACAGGTGGAACCCTTTATGGATATTACGAGCATATACCAACATCTGCAGCACAGTCAACCTGGAAGGAAGACGTCAAAGGATATCAAGAGTTTAGCAACTATCTGCAAAGAAGTCCTTGGCATTTCTCTTTCAAAGGTTTGGCTTCTCAAGACCTTTGCCATGTTCATTCGAGTACCAACTGAAGTTCCTATTTTGCTATGCGATGTAAAATTTTAGACTTTTAACTACATGACGGAGTGATGGGATGGGCGTTCTTTATTCCTATCAAAATTTAACATCTCTTCTTTAGGAACTTCAATGTAGTGATTGGTCATGTCGTCCTCTTACAGAAGAGCAGAAAACATATGCAGCTATTGATGCACAGTGTTTGCTTGAAATATTTAATGTCTTCCAAGCCAAGATCATCAAGGAAGGTCTGTCATACTAGAGATGTAACACACTGCTTTCTTGAAATACAACCCTTGTATTTTGTTATATCCTGTTGGTTATGGAAAGTTATTGGAAATCTCAATTGCAGGGAGCTTGATTCACAGTCCCACTGAATCAACCATGAATCTTGGGTTGAAAGAGGTTCTTGAGAAGCTTGATGTATGTAATAAAATTGTAAGGATGAAATTCCATGAAGCTTTGGATATAGTCCGAGCTACCACTTCTTATATTTATCCTAATATAGCTACAGAAGAGGGAATGGCTTTGAGGACGCGACCTAGGAATACCCTGCCTATGGATGAGTTTCTCGTGAGGGTTGCAAACAAATATGGGGAGGAAATTTTGTTGAATGAATCTGATAAAAGGGCCAGAACTAGCAAAAGAAAATCAAAAAGACGGTCATCAGTGGGTTTGATTTGCAAAGAAAAGCAAGGACAGAGTTTTGAAGATTGGCAAGGTCCACCTCCATGGGATTTGACTTTGGGCGGTGATGGACACCCAAAGTTTCTCTGTGACGTGATGGTAAGTTTTTTCCTATCTGTTTATGTTTCTTTGCTCTTATTCATTTCACTTTTTCTTTGTCTTACATGGTTGATGCCGATTACACAGTTGAAAGGAATTCCATAACACTTTTAATACTAATAAGTGATCGGCAATTGAACTCCCCATCCCCATCCCCCTCTTTCTCTGTTGCTCTATAAGAGTTATTCTAAGATCAAAGAGAGTCTGCTGCTGAATTGTGACATGCTACTTGCTTGCTCATGCTTATTCAGGTTGAAGGCTTAGCTAAACATTTAAGATGTGTTGGGATCAATGCTGCAATCCCATATTCAAAAAAGCCTGAACCCAGGTATTCTGATGATTGTGCTCTTATATGTTAAATATCTCGTAGAGTTTGAATATGTTTTTAACATCTTTTGAATGATTGTATTGAGGTTTCATTTTATGCAGGGCGTTAATAGAACAAGCAAACAGAGAGAAGAGAGTGCTGTTGACACGGGATGCCAAGCTGCTGAGACATGATTATCTAATAAAAAATCAAATCTATAGGGTAAAGAATCTTCTCAAGAATGAACAGCTACTCGAGGTATGTCTGTTCATTTTGAAAATTCTGTGCCTTATAAATCAATTACATATACATACCATGTTTGGAAACTACTTTACTATTTCACAATCATTAATTTAAAAAATTCATAAAACATTGCTAGTGATTCATGGCCCTTCAGGTTAACTTATATAAAGATCTTACTACCTAGAGTCTGGCATTAGATTTAATGAGGCTGTAATTGAATATTTTAATCTTGACAACTTATTATGATTTATTGTAGGCATGGTGGGTTTAGCTTAGAAAGTTTAAATTACAAAACTAAAGAAACTTAAGAATTTATGATGAGTTAGTGTCTGATGAAGATGTGATAGATATGTTGAATGGGACATCCTAGACTCCTAGTTTGTGTTTAGTTTTGGAAGTGCATAGGTAATACTGATACATAGTCCTAGATCATAACATTCGAAGAAGCAATTAGAACGTTGAATCTTTGTTACAGGATGAATCTGATTCTGAAGTGTATTCTGGCAGATAATTGAAACTTTCCAGCTGAAAATTTGTGAGGATCAGCTGATGTCAAGATGCACCAAATGCAATGGTAGATTTATTCAAAAGCCCTTGACGACTGAAGAGGCTGTTGAAGCTGCGAAAGGTTTTCAAAGAATTCCTAACTGCTTGTTTGATAAGAATCTAGAGTTTTGGCAATGTATGGACTGCAACCAACTTTACTGGGAGGTATGTTTATCAGTCCTTCCCTTCCTCCCTCTCTCTCTCTCTCTCTCTCTCTCTCTCTCTCTCTGTGTGTCACTCTCCACTATAACCTGGAAAAGCAACATGCGCATTTCCATTGTTTACAAAGAAGGAAGGACCACATGGACACTAAACCAAATTATCTTGTTTACGGGTAATAGATCTGATAATTGACAGGTGATAATGAGAGGCTGTGTGATGGCTTGCAGTCATCTGAGCAGAGCAAATTGCCCATCCTTGGGCCTACAATGAGAGAGATTTATGTTTCTCTCTCCCCCGTAAACTGTTTTGAGTTGTAGATTATATTGAATTCATGTGCTAAGCAAATTATAAATGATTTGATATGTTGTCCTTTATTTCTTCGGAAAACCACTTTGAGGCTGTCAAGAGTTTTGATATAATATGACAATTCGTTGTTGAATAGTGTTGCTAGCTGTCTTTAAAAAATAATTTTTTGTTGTTACAGGGAACTCAATACCACAATGCAGTCCAGAAGTTCATTGATGTTTGCAAGTTGAATGAGTAAATTGAAGTTGATAATCATTGTGCACTAGTCTGTCAGTGGCCCATATGTTGCCACTCACTCATACTTTTTCATATCTTCTCCTTGATTCATTTTTATTATTTTTGGGGGTAATATATTCATGTTGAACTGTTTTGAAGTAATGTATGTTGTCATCCATATAAATGCCTAACAAAAGATGCCCCAACTCTGTGTTTGGTGATTTGAATTTGATGATGATGCACATCCAATTGGTTGGACCTTTCATTTTGTTGCGGAAACGCTGTCGGCTAAAATTAGAAGAATAAGAATAGAAAAGATTAGGACAGATTCAAGTTGAGAGGGGGTTAGAGCAATGAGCATGCCTTTCACTTGTGTATGTTCAAATATATATATATGTATATTAGTTCTGATCTCTTGGACTACAGGGGTCCAAGAGATTTGTGGTCACTCACCGTTGGATGTAAATTCAACGATTCACTTACTCTTGCATTCTTTTTAAGAAACTTTTTTGAACCATTAGATTAATATCCAACGGTGGGTGACCATAATCTCTTGGACTCCCGTGGTCCAAGAGATCTGATATATATATATATATATATATATTTTATCAATTGTCCTCCTTTTCCCTCCCTGTAGTTTCAACCTGTCACACACATGCCGCAAAATATTCACTCATGCCCCACAATAGATAGAAGTCAGCTTCATGAAGAAAAAGAATAGCTGCTGCTAAATTTGGAGATTTTGTAGGGGACAAATGCTCCTGAGTTAACGGCTTTTAACGTATAAGTCGTTTTCATTGTCAAGTAGGGAATGTTCGGGGCGATGACTATCCTGATTACGTTTAGGCTACTTAGCCAGACTTTTGAAATTTCTTGGTCTGCCTGCCTAAGCCTTGTAGAATAATGTAATGCCAAGAAGCATAGGCCATTTAACTTGCTGGGTTTGCTTTGCTTTGCTTTGCTATTTTAATTAATAATTAATCTTATTTAGGACCTCAAGTTATCTTTAAATATGCATTAAGTAACTTTTGGGTTGGGTAACCAAGTCACCATTAGTTTTTATAATTGGCTCAGTAATTATTTAATAATTAATTGAAAAGCAGTCGGTGTTAGGCAAAGCATGATTCAGATCAGATGAAGAAGATACGATAATTGCTTCAGAGCAGCTTAAGGGGTTGATGGATGGATAGGCTCTCATCTCACCTCACAAGGTTTTGTTTTGCTTTTTGTGAAGGTGGGTCCACCTAAGTTGGACCAGCCTAGAGGTTCTTCTTCTTGTAGAGACGGTGAGGCCCAAAATTGGAATGCCTTGTTTTCTTCTTGTTTTCATTTTTCGGCTTAATGAGGAATGCCATTGCCTTCTCTCTCTCTCTCTCTCTCTCTCTCTCTCTCTCTCTGCCTTCTTTTTGGTCGGTTATGTATGTAAGTTATAACCATTGACATAGCAAAATTGGTTATTTCAGGACACTTGATTTGAGATTATGTCTACAATACAAATTAATAAATAATTTATAATATATAGTTAATATGTTATGAATCATGTGTAAGTGTGTCCCTCATATGGTATGGATGCGTAAATGTGTGGACTGCTCCTTCCTATCAAAATTCAATTAAATCATGTTTCATGTGCAGTGACGCCACGCAGGGAAGCATTCCCCTTCTTCCCCAAGTATACTTTACAGAAGATGAAACAACGACAAGTCGTATAAAGCAACGGGTTCGCCCGAAACAAACAAGTGAGACGTGTCTCTCTGGCAGACAATGGAATGGGATTGTAAAGCAGCATCGCGTGACGTATGGGAGTTTGACTAAAGTCTCATTGTGGTCAGATAATCGTACGGCGGTTAGGAGCGAGAGAGATGGACACCGCCACATGCGCACGTTCATTATTACAATTGCTTTTTTTATTTTTTTATTATTGTCTATTATTTATTTATTTAATAAATTGATGGGATGGAAGTATGGATACCCGCGCGGTGCCCCAAATATTCTCTCTCATTCTTGATTCTTCCATCATCGTCGACACGTTTCGCGACCACATGAGCTCTCAAGTGGTGGGCTCCCATCATTTTCTGCCACGTGTCCACTGCCTCCAGTCCTTCAGCAGTAGTCGCCCTGCCGCCGTCACCGTTTTCTGCAGAAATGGCTCAGCCTCAGCGTCAGCTGCGACTGCTACCCTACCTCATTTTCTACAAGTTTTATTTGGATTATACGTCTGATATGAGAGTCCATGAGTTACTTTACTTATGAGTTTTATGACTAAGACCTTTTAACTTGTCGTTTTGCCACACTATCTCTTCTTGTCGTTTATTATAATTTATACCACATTGTTAAAAATAAGACGCATTTATATTAACGATTTCTACTTATGTTAGAGAGATAATACACAATGCGTCAATAATAAACTATGTAATATCTAGATCCTGCTTTTGTAATAATTTATGGTTTTCTATGCTTTATAATTTGCTAGGCCTAGGTACACTACACCTAATGGCTAGCTATAGTAGTGCTAGCTTAATTTAGGTGCTACATATATACGGCTTTTGGAGCGAGACGTTAGAGATTTTTTTTCATCACTATCTGCGTTGTTTTTATTCCAAAATAGGAGGATATAGGAATTAGACTAAAGATTTATCCAAAAAATCATACATACGTGTTAGTATTTGGATTTTCCCTTGCTTATTAGCTCTAGTTGTAAGAATATTGGTATAACATGAAATGACCAATTTACTCCTTCCCCCTCAAGGAAGAAAAGTGAAAATCCAAATATTATACAGGGAAAACAGGGTTAATTATGTAGTGCAGGAAAATTCATCCCATCTTCCTTATTCTCTGGTCAGAAAGAACCCACCAAAAGAGTCTACAGTGCATACGCACACACGCATATATATATATACACAGACAGATACAGACGGCCACAAAGAATTAATAGCATTGACCAAGATAAAATTAATATATATTCTACTAAAACTTAATTATGTGCATGTACATATTACTCCCATATATATATATATATATATATATATATATATGCAGTACAGAGATACTAATATACATATACTATGATAATGAAAGCAGTAAAAGACAAAACTACCCCACTCGCTCTCTCTCTCTCTCTCTCATATAGTTGGCCAACACATGGAACCACACCACATATACCATCATCTCTCAAGTGCTTCATTTTTTTGCCTTTAAGACCATCTGCGCTGAAAAAGTGGGTGATTTATCCTCTCTCAAGACTTGATATAGCTTTTTCTCTCTTCCCTTTTCTCCTTCTTAGTCCATGGACACAGCTCACTGGCCACAGGTAAAGCAAACCCTTTTTCTTTTTCTTCCATGAAATCATGAAATTATCTTCTTAGGGTTGGGTTTTTCAAAGCTAAGCTTAGCTTAGCTTTGGGTTTTCAAACTTATATCTCTTTCTTGATACTTTGTGTTAAAGTAGTTTGTATACTTTTCTTCTCTCCACATATCCACACTGAGAAGAGAATCATGTTTAGCTCAGCTCCCCACTAATATCTGAAATTTATATTGTTGTCTTTCAAGGTCTTTCATTTTTGTCTCGGAAGTTGAAAGTATTGCACTTTTTTCTTTCTTTTTTTCTTCCTACCATCTGATAAAGTAGGTTTGTTTTTATTGCTGCTGTTGTAATCTTGATCATCAAAGTGTAAAAAAGCAACTCCCTCTTGTTTACTTTGTCCTTGTTTTCTTCCTTTTATTTTCTTCCTCCATCTTTCTCTTAATTTTTCGAGTTACATACAGACGATACAAATACTTTTCTGGTTTTTCGGTCATCACCAAAGTTATGGCCTTTTCCTGTCGCTTTTATTTTTTGGGTTTATTTTTATTTCTTCTTTTCAGGGGGTTGGAGTGGTTAAATCCATGGAAGATTCTTCTTCTTCAAGGCCCATCTTAGAGAGAAGGGCAAGGCCTCAAAAGGATCAAGCTTTGAATTGTCCAAGGTGCAATTCAACCACCACTAAATTCTGCTATTACAACAATTATAGTCTCTCTCAGCCAAGATATTTTTGCAAGACTTGTAGAAGGTATTGGACTGAAGGCGGCTCTCTAAGAAATGTTCCTGTGGGTGGAGGCTCAAGGAAGAATAATAAGAGATCGAATTCATCTTCACCGTCAACCTCTTCAGCAAAGAAGGTTGCTCATGATCATCATAATCATGTCACCAATACCCCACATGGCAATTTCCCTCAGCACCACGAGTCTGCGTCTCAAAACCCTAAGATCCATTTCCAAGGCCAAGATCTCAACTTAGCATACCCACCAACTGATCAGGAATATGATCAGGTACTACCCTTTAGTATTGACAACAAAAGCCAGCACCAGCTGAACCCTAGCTCTTCCACCACGACTTCATCTCATCATCATCATCTGTCAGCTATGGAGCTGCTCAAGAATGGGATTGCATCAAGGGGGTTGGCCTCTTTCATGCCCATGGGTGTGCCTGATCATTCGAATAATAATAATATTACAATGTTTTCTACTGGGTTTCCCATGGGTGTGCAAGAATTCAAGCCAAGTCATGGGCTGAGTTTTTCTCTAGATGGGTTCGAGAGTAGCGGGTACGGGTGTCTTCAAGGGGTGCAAGAGGCAAACAATAGTCATGCAAGGCTCTTGTTTCCTACAGATGAGGATTTGAAGCAGCAGATTCCAAGCACCACTACTGCCACCACTGAATTTGATCAGCACACCAGAGGGGAAGGGGATTCTGGTGGGTATTGGAACGGAATGTTAGGTGGAGGTTCATGGTAAAAAGAAAAAGAAAAAGAAAAAAGAGAGATAGATAATGATGTAGAAGAAAAGAAGGTATTTTGGTTTGTTTTTCTGGATCACCTCACCTGGTGGGTGGCACCGTGGCATGTTTGGAGTTTGACGAAAAGAGCAAAGTAATAATAGGGTACACGAGCTTCTTCCTTTCCTTTGTCATGATCATCAGTGTGTGTGTGAATTAATTATTTTTCCTTTTTCCTTTTTCTTTTTTCTTCTCTCTCACTCTCACTCTCACACTCACTCTCTTTGGTTTTTGTTTTTCCCTTTCTTTACTCTTTGATGGATCCATGTGGATGTTTTGAAGCTTAATTTTAGGCTGGCTTCAAAAGGGCCATGTCATGATGAATGCTGAATTCCTAAAAAAGTCATGAACAAGAGGCCAAGGAAGTCTCCTTGCTGTTTCTTTTTAGGGTTCCTTAAAGAAGATAAATTACAAGACGATCGATCTCCATCTCCTAGCTGCTTCCTTCTTGAGCTCAGCTTGCACTGTGGCCTTGGCTTGGGGTGATATATGTTTTTCAGTTAATTAGCTGATTAATTAGGTAGCAAACCAAGAGTCATCGCGATGATTTGTTAAATTTATGTATATGCAGCAGTGCCAGCAGAGCAGAGCAGAATGACTTGTATGTTGTTTAATATTTTTACTAGTTAACATTTGGATTTGTGAGTTGATTAGCGCAGTTGATGATGGGATTAATTATTGGTTTGAAGTAATTAAAGTGAGTTGGAATGATGGGCGTCAATCCTTTATTAGGAAAAGTTTCTGCTTTTGTGTGTTGTTTTTGCTTGGCGACAGGTCACAAGTGTCAGGTCTTTTCAGCACCATCTGCGCCTTTGAGATTCTTTCTTCCGCCCATTAATGGCACCACTGCCATGGCCACCCCCAACCCAACTCCTTCATCATCATCTATCACCCATCATCATATACACACACAATTAAGTTGAAAGATTAAATCAAAACTTCGTTAAAACCCTATTTAAAATAAAAATAAAAAGTATTCCTTTCCGTTTGAATTGAAGGTCTTGTCCGGTGATAGCATTGTTGTCTATATTTTCTTGAAAATTGATAGACAAACTCTCTCTACTACATATACATATATACATGCCGTGCCATATATATATATATATATATTCCCTTATTTTGTCATATCATTATATTCATTATTGTTATATTAAAAGACAAAGGAGCTCTACTCTCTCTCTCCCTATCCTAGTCCCTACCCTTGACTTGGTTTGGCTTAAGGAGGTGGGATCCACAAACATTCCCCTCGTTAACCATGCTAGGGAATTATCTCCTCCACTCTACAAAATCTTCCAGATGTAGACCTTAATATATTGTATATATTAGATTCATATAGGAATATATGGAGCTTCTGGGATTTCCTGTATCTTTTGTCTTTGCTTGCTCTATGCAGCTATGCTATGGTGTTGAGCACTAGGGCTAGCTTAGCTTGTTACTGCAATATTGTAGGTGGAGGTGCACCACCCACCATGAACATCCCTTTCTTGCCAAACCCTTATTAGGGATCTCTACAGTCTACTCCACCAATCTTGCTTCGCTTGAATTTTCAATTTTTTAAATTTTGCTCAATGGAATTTGCCAACTTATACTAATGGATTATTAGTTGGATTGGTTCAGACCTTTGCTGTGCTCCTAAAAGGTCTTAGGTTCGAGTCCCCATGATATCCATGTCACGCATGTGTAAGTTTCCCCTCTCCCTTTCTTAACTTTGGCGACCGAAAAACAAATGTCAACCTAGGGGCTGTTTCTTTTTCATTTTAAGAATTAGTCACAGGTTTCCAACAATACAGCGTCGGTGATGATGATTGATTAGGTTCATGGGGATAATAGTACTAGTAGAAAACGCAGAGTAGCTAGCTAACTAGTCAATGCATTACAATGTGTGTATATTATATACATATAATATTAGGGTAGAAACACAACTTTGGTCACTATGTTGTGACGCAAAATCATATTTAATCACTTTAATTTTTTTAATTTTTCGATTTTGGTCGTATTTGATTCCGTGAGAGATAGAGAGAGTAGTGAAGTGCACTATAGGACTAGGTCAAACTGTTCACCATCTTACAAGCCTGCTCAACCCAAATTGATATGGTTGTTTGGAATTTTAGGTTTAATGGTCCTGAATTTTGACCTAATTCTCATTTTGATCCCTTGATTTTCAAAATTGTTCCCGTGGTCAATTTCAGTTTAATTAGGACAAATGGTCATGCCCTCATTTTTGTCATTTTTTCTATTAAATTTGAGCATTGCACATGGTGTACTGTTGAGGGTCAAAATCGGTAATTGCTTCACTCATATGGAATATGGGCAAATTTTGGTGGGGTTGGATTGGAGAGGTTGTGGTTACTATGGCGAGGATAGGAAGAAGGTTTTTTAGATTTTTATTATTTAT